GGTCTAGATAGCGCTAGTACTGATTGTCTGCAGTCCGTGTGGATGTCGTGGATGTGTACGATCTTTAAAGTGATATTGTTGCTGACTATTTGTTCGGCCGCGATGGTTATGCCAGTTATTTCCGTTTGGAAGACATTTAGCATGGATCCAAGGGCTATAGCTAAGTTCAGTTTAAGGGCTTTGGAGTATACTCCGCATCCCGAGCCTGTTTCAGTTTTGGAACCATCAGTGTAGATGTTACTTACCCCTGCAACTGTGTTGTTTCCGATGCCTTTCGTTTTGATTGCGTAGTGCTTTTTGAAGATGAAACATGGTGCTGCAGAGTCCACTCTGGCCTCCAACAATGTAAGCGAGTTCGTTACCTCACGCCATATGCGGGCTCTCTGCATACCGGTCAAATCCAGGGGCGTCAAACATAGAATTACTTCCAAAGCCCTAGTTAGTGTGGTTTTCGTTGCACCAGTTATCTTGAGGCATTCCATTCTTTGATTGTGGTCTAGTTTTCAGCTTAAAGTAGTCTGTTCGGCCTTATGTCCCCAGACAGTAGCCCTATAGGTAACCATAGGCCTGATGATGGTTGTATAGACCCACATAGCTACCTTGGGGAAGAACGCCAGGTCTTACCAATAGTACGTCTACACTGTTCATAGGCGAAGGCGATATATGCTTTCTGTATTCTCTCAGTAATACGAGAGTTCCATGTTAGTTTGCAGGTGAGTGTCACTCCCAGATATTTGACCTCGGCGGCAAAACTTAGTTCGGTGTTTAGGAGTCTGGGTGCTGTCGGAAGTACCTGTTTCCTCCTTCTTGTGATTAATACCATTTCATTTTTTTTGGGGTTGATGGACAGAGTATATTCCGTGCACCATCTTTCTATAATTCGAAGAGCATGTTGCATGCGTTCGCAGGGCGAGTTCTCAAATGACCCCAACTATCACTCATTGAAAAATATTTATTGATGTACCAAACACCCTGTATAGTATGCGATGCGCTATGACATCTTTGCTTTACTCCGTTTGTGATCTGATCTGTTGTTTTGAAGTAAATGATGTTAATAACTTCAGGAGTACAGCCGTGCAATACCAATGCAGAGAGCTACTGGACGACAAACGCTTAAATTAAATGTCTATTAAGGGTATATTATACAGGGGTTTCGTCTGTCCTTTCGATTTTTCTTGCATTTGTCTTGCACTGAATATCATGTCAACCGTTCCCCCGTTGAGATATAAACAAAAATATGCCTTTTCGGAAACGCTGATCCGATTAACCCGATCACCAGCTATTTGTTTTTTTATCTTTCTTTGATGAACACGATTACAAAGACAAAATACATCAGCTTTTGATCCGGGTTATCGGATCAGCGTTTCTGAAAAGGCCTAATGTGTTTCGGGAAGGATTGCTCCGACCAGAGAAAAAAGTCGGTTGCAATAACTCCCGCCAGATACTGTAAACTTTCCTGCTGAATCTTTTAATTGGTCTCATCAAAACAATCATGATGTTTCGTTGTGATGAGACCCGTCAGTTCTTGGCCGGCTGTCAGCATGGCTGTTTCAAACATCGAACAATACTGTTCAATATCGTCGATATCTTCAGCAGACAATGTCTCAATTAATGGAAGCCACTCAATACTCATTATACAGTCCAACATCTATCATAGTTCTGGTAAGAAAAAAAGTGTAGCCTCCGATCTAACCGGGTATATTTTAAATTTATAAGTATTTTAACTAGGTATGGGAATACCAAAGAGATTAAAGCCATTCAATAGCTATGTTTTTTCTAATGTAAGAAAACAAGTTGGGCATCGTGGGAGAGCAACAAAAAACTTTATCAAATCAGCTCTTCTAGCAGCCCGTAGCCCCTGTTTGCTGGACCTAATGAATTGGGTGTCCTGAGTGGTGGAGCTACAGGTATTGCAAAAGCGATAAACGATACCCATTCTACAAAGGAAAAACTTGCCAAGTCTAAGCAGCACAACGAAAAGATGGAAGCCATTGCTTTGGGGAAAAAAGGAAATGGGTTATATCTAGCCAAACACACTGGGTATGGATTGTACTTGAAGAAAAAAAATCCGGCCGAAGAGAGCAGTGACATTCGTCGTAATTTTCACATTGCCTTGTCACCTTTCTTGAATAAAGTGACAATAGAGATTTTGAAGATGTGTGGAAATCCTCCAAGTTTTTCATATTTTGGAAATAAATGTATATGTTTGTTCGACTAGCGCCCAGTGGCCCACTTCTAAAAGCTCAGTACGGAGTCAGGAATCTGTCTGAGCAGATTTATTATTCTTCATTTGGTTATCGCTTTTTGAACCTCTTGATGGGAAGGACTATTACTCAGACGACTTTGTTTTTGAGAGACTTTGTTGAAAACGTCATCATCCATGTGGGGGTCTCCCTATAGGACCTTCTGAAAATGCATTTCCGTAGCTAATGGAAGCTGAAACTTTCAATAGTTGAATCTCATCTCTAGATCTTAGCGTATTTGGACCTTTTCTTGAGAAAACTTTGTGGTGCTAAGAAAAGCTTTGGCGTTGTGAGAGGCTGCTTACGGTGAACTTCGTTTTCTACCAGTTGTTTTCCAGCATTTTTGTTTTTCTTAGTACTTCTGACTTTGCTTCGAGATAGGTGTGTTTTGTGTGGGCTATGTGCCAAATACCTTAAACTTTCCCTAATAAATGTTTTTATTGGTTTCATCAAAACAATCATGACGTTTCGATGTGATGAGGCCCGTCAATTCTTCGCAGGGTGTCACGATGGCTGTTTCAAACATTGAAGAGTAGAGTATATCTACTGTTCAATATTTTCGGGATCTTCGGCAGAAAATTTCCCAATCGATAGCAGCTGCTCAATATTCATTAGGTGTAGTAATCACATATCGAACTATTCGGTAGTCAGTCGAACATCGATTATATTTAGTTCTGGTATAAGAAATAAAGTGTACCTCCGCCGTGTTCTACGAATTGGCACACTTCATACAAAACTTTATGCCGAATATATTTTTTTTTGATTCTTTGTCCAAATCCGAATAGGTAAATCTGTTTGGGAAGCAGCTGGAGGACTAATTTTAATGACACTTTGGGCTCGAGGTAGAATAGTTAATTCTCTTTGAGTAAAGTAGAAATAAAAAGTTCTAGTTGCTTGTTTCTGTTGCTATATTGACTTAGAAGAAGGACAAGACAAGTAAGGTTGTTGTTTAAGATCAGTCAGGAGAGATTCTGATAGCTTTAGGAATACCAGACTCAAAATCTCAAAATAGTTTGTTACGTTCAGGTAGATTAATCAAATTATTATATATAGGTAGGTACGAGCAGTGGATGTTTCAGATTGAAAATAACTATTATTTAATGCTCTTACCATGAGATTGGACCTAATTGGTGCCTAACCTAAGTTTGAGATTTTTGAAGTGAAATTTCTCAGGCGGCGGTCTGATATCTGGACAATAGAGAGTGATTCGAAAAACGCTTCACGGGCAAATTTCGTTTCACGAGAGAGAAGGAAGATATAACGTAAAGAGACGGAGAAAGGCAGCTATTGATTGACACAAACCAAGGATTATAAACGCAAAGAGGATTGCCTATTATTGACAAGCGCCGATACCTTGTGACGTCACTACAGATGCGTGCCTCTCTTTTGTTATACTATTATCATTGTGCTTTGTGATTATATTTGTTATTTATACATTACTGTCCTGTGCTTTTTAAAATGAAACTTTTTAGGCGGCGGTCTGATATTTGGACGAGAATAGAGAGTGATTTGAAAGACACGTTACGTTTTGGCAAATTTCGTTACACGAGAGAGAAGAAAAATATGCCGTAGAGGGACGGAGAAAGATAGTCAATGACAATAGCCGACGAACGTTTGACACAAACCAAGGGTTATTATTGTCAAGCGCCGATACCCTTGTGACGTCACTACAGAAGTTGTATGAGGGGGGATAGTTTTTAAGAAGTTTCACTTCTACCACGTGTACGGCGCTGCACATGATTTTTTTTTGTTTCAACTTTTGAATAATTAAAACGAAAGTGAAAAAAAGAAAGAAAATTGACATCCGTTAGATATCTCGAAAACAGGTAACATTGTAGAGTTATCCATAGCTTAAAAATCGAAAATCAAAAATTGAATCTTCTATACAATTAGCGACTGTAACTTTCGTACTTGTTTATCTTTAAGTATAACTGAAAACTGCTCCTCTACTATAGCCATGAAAATTGTTTACCTTTATGTTACTTGCTTTCATGAAACAAAACATTCTAGATTTGTATCGATAGCCTAATTTTTATTTAAATACATGCGTGACTAGCCTCTAAGTGAAAAATTGCCGATGTTAAAGATTTCAATATCAAAAAAGCTATGAACAATGAAGGTGTCGACTGCCAATTAAGTGCTTTATTTATACCTAGATTTTTGTATTTTATAGTACACGACACGTCAGTATGATTTGAAAAATATGTTTCAGTAAGGCACAATACATTATTTTTTGGGAAAATGCTGTGGGCTATACATAAATAATATGAATCTCTCTTGTGCTTATTTTTTTTATGACTGAATATATGAACAAGAGAAGACGACCTAACGCTCAAATAATAAAAACAGATTTTTTGCTATCATTTTCATCATTCAAGGATATACACACATCAAAATAGTCTAGGGAACAAGAAATAGGTATCTATACTATCAGAAATTTTTGCTGATTTTATTTATAAAATATTTAAACTAATCAAGTTTGCAAAAAAGAGCCGATATGGTAAATTTGATAAGATTTGCTTAATAAATAATACCCTCGTAATCTTAAAAAAAAGTTGTTCGGTCTTAAAATTGGAGGACAGATATTTCTTGTTCCCTAGACTATTTTGATGAGTGTTCCCTAGAACCATCGTAGCATTAAAGTTGTAAAATAAAACAATTTAAAAATTTTTCGTAAAAACTCCGGTTTTATTTGCTAATTTGCTGGCAAGAATTTCCAATGCAGCATTTTAGAACTAACTTTTGTTTCATTTTTAGAGACTGTCGAGTTGTTCGCGATCCACAAACCTTAAAATCAAAAGGATATGGATTTGTTTCTTTTATTAAAAAGGGGGTGAGTATGTGATCGTGACGTAAGACTTAAGACTTCATAGGTGTTAACTGATATACCTAACATAAAATATTGAAGATACGAAATTATAGTTTATATACAGTGTGATTATTTAAGTGTGCAACATATGGGGATATTTTTTAGTAATAGCAAAATCCAAATACAAACAACGCCAAAAGTTGGTGCATGTCTGATAATCATATTAGGTGCACTTCGAATGGTTGCAAGTCAAACAACATACAGGGTAGTTCAAACAATATCAAAATTTGTACTGTAAAGTATCCTTATTTTAGAAAATTCGGCAAAATGTTATAGAGAAAAGTTGTTTGGAATTAAAAGTTATGCCTAAATACCAAAAAATGGCCTCCTAAAATTTTTTTAAATTTTTTTTCGAAAAAAATCTTTAATTTCTATATTTTTTTTATTTTTTATTTCCGCCCTTGATACTTTCAAAAATTAATTAAAATCAAATCAATTTTACATAACTTTGTTCAAGTTCAAGCATATTTGTAAAATTAACTAATTTTTAATTTTTTATGGAATCACAAAATTCATGTTTGTTGCAATGATATTCAACACAACTTTAAAATGTCACAATTTTTTTTCAACAAGTTAAAGCATTACTAATGATAATATGCATTTAAAAAAAAGTCTCCTTAAAGTGCAAAAGTTTTATTTTATTTAAGTGAATATTACTACAATTTTGATATTTTTTGAGCTACCCTGTATGCCGTTTGACTTGCATTTATTCTAAGTGCACCTGATATGAATATTAGACATGCACCAACTTTTGACTTGGTTTGTATTTAGATTGTGCTATTACTAAAAAAAAATCCCATATGTTGCACACTTAAATAACCAGCCACACTGTATAAGTAGAGTTTAACTACCTCAAAAGATCTTAACCTCCAATAAAAGACAATTTATGTAACAAGTTTTTCTTATATTATTTTTAGGAGGCAGAAAGTGCGATTGCGGCAATGAACGGACAATGGCTTGGAAACCGAAGCATCAGAACAAATTGGGCAACTCGGAAACCTCCTACTGCCAAAAATGAAGGTAAACATTAATGACATCAACTTAGGATCTAGGTACTTAGCTCATTCACCTTGTAAACGTCGAACTTATCATTTATTTCCAATGAGATTCTAAATTTAGTTTTATGAATATATAAGAAAATAATTTTCAACTTCTTGACGCTTCGCTTACGACGGCAATTTCCACCTTATTCAATATTTTTGCAAGGCTCCGATGTAACAAGTTTAATATTTTCGTTATATGCACCGACTTCTCTCAATATCCGGAAAATTATTATTCCATTATTGGATTTGAAGGATTAGAATCATATTATAAAAGTACCTATTTTTTCTCAGATTGTAGATGATACATTTTTTTTCTCATAAATACTAAAATAATTAAATTACATTTGATAAAATGTGTTGATATGAGTACTTCAAACAATAGCGATAAAAACAAAAATAAAAAGCAAAAACAGCAGAATAGCTGAAATTTTAATGTCACTTTGTATCTGGCAGGTAACACAACAACTCAATTAGAGTTGGTGGACCTTTCCGGAGAACCTTTCTAACGTAGAAAATTTATAGCGGTCTGTAAACACAGTGCTAGCAAATGTTCTATGGTCCGAGGAATTACCCTTAGGATTCTTGATGTAGGTAATGTTACAAAATTCATGTCCCCCAGGAATTTTCCGCTAGAAACTTTTACGCAATTTCTCTGGAATAATGCCGAAGCACAGTGGTCGGAATGCAAGAATTCAAGACAACTTTGAAATTTATTTTCCAAATATAAAGTTAGAAAATTGTTTTTGAGAAAAGTTCATATATTTGGGTGCAATGACATTTCTATTTTCTATTTCCTTGATTTAATTCTCAGGTGGGATTTGATGAGACTTTATGTAAAACTGCTTTTTTTATATTTTAGCTGCAGCCAAGCCACTAACTTTTGACGAAGTATATAATCAAAGTAGTCCAACTAATTGCACTGTCTACTGTGGAGGAATCACGAATGGCTTGACCGAAGAACTGATGCAAAAGACTTTCGCACCATTTGGGACCATTCAAGAAATTAGGGTTTTTAAAGACAAGGGTTATGCTTTTGTTAGGTAAAAAAATAAATAAACAATAATCGTCATTTATCAATTCTTGTTATAGATTTTCCACTAAAGAATCGGCCACGCACGCTATTGTAGCAGTCCATAACACAGATATTAACGGACAAGTTGTTAAATGCTCATGGGGCAAGGAATCAGGAGATCCTAATAATGCACCAACTGTTAGTCAAGTAAGATTTAAATCGAATCCGGTAGGTTATCCGAACACATGGTTTTCAGATTTATTTAAGAAGGAACTTAAAGTGCGGTTTAATTGAACATAAATGCAACCCATTTTTTAAAAAAAAAAAAAAAACATTTGGGGAAATTTGAGATAAATATCAATATAATTTTTTTTTTTTTTATTTCGGAACTTTTTTCGAATATGTAGAACTCCATATTTGAACTAAATTCCTTTGGGTAGATCATAGGAAACAAAGTTGGTACGTATTTATTGTTACGTTCATAATATATTCAAAATAGATGAAAATTAAAAAATTGACACATTTCCTGGTATTATTTATTTTATTTCTCGAAACTATATCACTTACATAGTTGATCAGGATATAACCATACCCCTCGCGAATGAATTCACTCCTGAATTTTTTTTATAAACATTGGCTCATATGCATAAAACAGAAGCAAATGCATATGCTTAAGTTTTATGATATAAACATATTCAGCTTTAATGCAGCAAAAAGAGATGGAGGTGGAGTAAAAGCATTTACTCCACTTCATTCATAGACTGATTAAATTTCTGTAAAGAGTGCATGTCATCATCCACCAAATTATGACGGAGGGGCACTTTGCCGGATTCGTTCTCTAACTTTTTAGCATGTCGCGACGAGTTTGCGCTCGATTCGCTATAACCTGTTCATGACTGTCCTGTAGGGCGACAAAGAAAAATGTATCACTTGTGCTGTTGCCGTAGAAAATTATCAGCTCAAAAATTTTCTTCTATATTATAAATTTATATTAATATAGAATATGATGACAATTCTAGAAGCGCAATTGAAATTAGACTACGCAGACAAAGAAGTTGAAGCTTATTTTCGGAAAAATATAAGTGTTCAACCGAAGCTCCAAGCACACTGCTACCACCCATAACGATGCTTTACGTTCTCCCGATTCCCTATCCCCAACTATCTCTGTCAATCCAGGCATCCTCCTCGAAGCCTCTGACTCTCATTTCCCCGTCTACTCCAATTTTCCAACTTCTTCTCGGTCTGCCGCGTCTTCTTCTTCCTCCAGCCATCCACTCAATGATTTTCTTAGGTATTCGCGTATGTGCCATTTTTTTATATGTCCGAACCAAATCAGTTTTTCTTTGATATCGTCTACCATTGTATGTCTTACGTTCATAGTTTCTCTAATTATTTGGTTTGTTATCCTTTCCATTTTTGACCTGTCCGCCACTCTCATAAGGGTCCATTTCAGTTGCTTCCAGCATTTTTCGGTTGTGTCCTTTAGTGGTCAGTTGTATAGTCTAATTCACGCCCTCCATTCTAGCGCTTACAACCCTTCCAAACGGCATAAACCCTGCCCTGCTCAATGTATTTGGGACTTCAAAGCCTAGGTGATTTTGGCATCTGTTTCTGTCTTCGTTCTGTTTTATATCGTGTTGCATAGCTTATTTTCCACTCTTCCGGTACTTCATGTCTAGCTATGCACGTTTGGGATAGTTTTATTAGATGTTTGTAAATTTTATTGGTCCTATACTTCATCAGTTCTCCATGTATTTAACATACGGAGAACTTCAACAAGAAAGAGGAATCCCTTAAGCTTAACCAAATTTGGAACCCGATCCTCAAAAACGCAAGAAAGATCCCATTGAGTACAGAGAAAGATCAGATCAGCCACGTCCTGTGATGCCGCTCCCACACCACAACCACTCACATATAAATACAACTTACGATCGTAAACGCGTTAGTCTGCTACCAGAGTCGGACATAGAACCACCTCTGAAGATGCTCGCCATGCGTGCTAGCGAAACGGCAGGAAGAAATTCCAACGCCATCAAGCCCGAATGAAAACACTTTATCAATATTTGTTTGTGCTTGTGTGCTTTTTTATATATTTCTTTGTCTTCTGTTCCATTTTAACTTAGGTGCTGTTGCTATTTCTTCCTTTTGTCTCCTATATCTTTCTCGATTTCTTCACCCCACTGATAGGTCTTTTGTTTTTTCTGCTGGGGCAGGGTGAGTTAATTTGTTATGTGCTCCAAAAGTAAGGATTCACAAAATATCTGTATCACGTTGGTACTTTTTTTTCGAAGCTACGAATGAAAAGTGAGCAATTTTCACTCTCCATCCAACAAAGCATCTCTTGTTTCAGCCTTCCTACGATCACGCCTATTAAGATTTTTAAAGAGTGTCCAATTTTTCTCTATTGGCAGCAATCAAACGACGCCTTGAGGTTAACAAAACCTCATAAATTTAAGCTTATCTAGTCTTATTCACAAAATATGGGCAATTTTTATTTATTTTTTTTTGGTAAGTTTTATTCAAATATGTATCTCTTTTAGTTTTTGAGAATGCTATACAATGTAATAACATCGTACCAAAGTCTAATAATGAACAAGTCCGGTTACTTCTTTGTTCATGTCAAAATGCCGACGATGTTTTTACGATTAAAAAGGATCTTTTAAAAATATTCAAGACAATAATAGTTGCCTCGACTGATTTTATTGTAGCTCATCATAAAAGGAGATTTTTATTTCAATTTTCCTTTTTTTCCTTTGATTTTAAAGTTATTAATGGTCTAATTTCAGAAACCCCAAAATCTAGAATAAATTGGGTTTACGATCTAAATTTAATTATTGGTTGTGGTAATAAAATAAAAACCGGTCATAGGTTTTTGATGTATTTTATTAGTGTAAGAAACAAGAGCAAAACTAAACTAATGAAATTTTTTCTAAAAACAAATAAAAGCTAATATTGAGTCAGTCCACAAAGAAACAACATTCAGTTATTGTATTAACTTTAGTGCAGGACATTAAAAAGTGATCATAAAAGCCTAAATCTTAATACCCTGTAATTAAATGTATGCATTTCTTTCTATTAAATTCGTACATCGTGTTTCTGGTAGGTACCTGATAACAATGAAACAATTCAATCACAAAAAAAAGACTAATTAATGCCAAATTCTGATTATGTCGGAATACACAAAAGAGTAAATGTTGTGGTAAATTTATTGCTCTCAGAAATGAGAGATTGTTAATTATTTTTTTACAAATATTATCAAATTCTGGTAATTCAAATATATCATCAAAATACATAATGTATATAAATTTTAATATTGTTATACATTCAAATGTTTGAACATAACGTCCCGATTAAAGAAATGAATTTAAAAAATGAAGAACTGAAAACACTAGCTAAACAAATAACAAAACAATATAAACTTAAAGAGAGCAAAAATTTTTACTAAATGTTTTTTCATTCTTAATAAAAATATTTTGGTATCACAAATACTTAAGTTTAAGAAGAAAAAATCACAAGAAAATAAGCAGAACACTACACTTTTGGCACACCCGGTATAACGCTACGCTGAGCCGCTGTGTAACTGAATGTATCGGTCGATTTTCCCTCAGAGGGGTTTATAGAATAAAGTCCGTGGGCCAGGGGCCCGATTCTCGTCTCAGGGAGAGGAGAGCGCCTCGAAAGAACAAATTTCTCGTCTTTATCATTCTCGTTCACTTTTCGATTACGTTGACAAGGACAAAAAATTCGTTTTCTCGGGGAGCTCTACTCCCTGGGGACGATAATCGGGCCCCATGGGAGGCGTGTCGGCAGAAGAGGGTCTTGTGTCAGGACCCGCTAGTGACCGGACTTGTTCGTGATTATTAGACTTTGAGCGCACAATCTACCTATCGAAACACACAAAACAGTGAGAAAATTGTTGTTCCATCTCTGCTCGTTGCTGAGACATTCTGGAATGAATTTAAACATTTTTCAAGAGAGGTGGTGAGGGAATGACTCAGGTGTGGAATGAATTTCAACGTTTTTCACGAGAAGTGTTGAAGGAATGACTTAGTGCCAATATATATATATATATATATATATATATATATATATATATATATATATATATATATATGTGGGTATACATATATATATATATATATATATATATATATATATATATATATATATATATATATATATATATATATATATATATATATATATATATATATATATATATATATATATATATATATATATATATATATATATATATATATATATATATATATATATATATATATATATATATATATATATATATATATTCGTAGTCAGGGTTCACCCTTGTTTCAAAAAATTTACCTTGGCAACCATAATCACTTTGGTGCAGGCGAAATGCTCTATGCCGCTCAAAAACATAAAAACGAAAATTGTCCAATGAAGCTGAATATGATTTCTAAGCCATAACTCCGCAGATATGGGATGTTTTGAAATATGTTTTATGGAGACGTAGCAGCGCTTGGATTCTTGACTTTGAAAATTATTTGTTTGATAAGGTTTGAATAAGGTTCCTATTGATGAAATTTTGATACTCACAGTCTGAGCAATTGCAAAAAATACTTCCATATTTTTGGGCAACTTTTTAAAACATAGCTGACTATTTCCCTTCGGATAGAATTGGCATTTTATTAGTGGTCTTAGGAGAATGTCATCAAAATCGTTTAGATTTGCAGCTGTTCAAAAATATAAGCTTTTTTTCAGAAACTCATGGTAAAATATTTTTTTCCCTTGAAATGATTTTCGAAACAACTCAAAAAAATTAAATAGGGGTAATATGTATTTTGAGTCGATTCCGATAGTGTGTAGTGTAATATTATTCGTATTTGAGAAAACCAATCTTCGACCTTCAAATTACTTGCAAATATCTTAAGTCAAGTTCAAAGTCGCGCCCTTACAGCCCAACAGCTTTTATATGAATAATTTTCTGCTATCTTCGCTTCGAAGTTACCGTCGTTTTACGATTAAAATAGCCTCCGGTATATTTTGGAAAACTTCGAGACATGTTTAGGAACCGACTGCCAGTAGGTCTGAAAAGAGAAATCTACATGCTGCCGGTCATGACCTATGGAGCTGGAACATTGACCTTAACCATCACATCGGTCAACAAACTTGGAACAACATAACGCAAAATGGACGTTTAATGCTCGACGTGTCGCTGATAGAGAAATCATGTCGGAAATGAAGATATAAGTCGAAGAATTGGCCAGAAGTAACCCGGATTACCATACTCAAATGGAACTGTTCCGGGCATAAGTAATGATAGACTGAAGGTGGTTGAAAATGCTGTAAGAGTGGAGAACTTGCGCAGATGAACACAGCAAAGCAAATCCATCTCGCTATGCAGATTACACCAGAGGTTCACCAACGATTGGATCCGGACAGCACAACAAAAGGAAGAGTGGGCAGTAGTAGAGGAGGCCTATGTATAGCAGTGGAATCAGAGAGATATGAGATGATGATCATGATGATTCAAAATTTGTTAAAAATACAATTAAGAATCGGCTGCAACATTGCAACTGAATAAATAAAGAGAGAGACTTATCGCCTTTTTCTTCGTAAGTGAAGGAATAGGGAAGTGGACAATTTTTTGAAATCTTTTTTTTATTATTCTTCATAACAAAATAAGCAGTAGTTGATGATTCTTTGATTTAAGAAAACAAAAATATACGTAGAAAAAAATTAACAAATTTGCACTTATTTTAAACGCTATAATTTACCGCCCGGAAATTACGTCATAGCTGTTATGTCCAAGGCATTCCTACAATAATAAGATTGGCGAGAGCGTGGTCTGTGCGTCCTTATATTTCACATGCTTGTAGAAAAAGATGCCGATAAACTTAGTGCGTGCTGATTGACAAATGGATATCTCCCAAAAAGTGGGGTTATGTTGAAGGTACGCCTAGATGTAATGATACCCGACAGACGTTGATATATCTTTTTTTTTTGCACTAATGAGTAGGTTTGTGTCGAATATCGAACGTAGGTTTGATTTAATTTATACTCAAATACAGCAGCTATGACGTAGAATCAAGGAGCAAAATATTTCCGTTTGAATAGTGCGTCCCAAAACTCTACTTTCACAACTGTTTTAAACAAGATTAGTAATTTTATCTGAAATTTCTTTTACTACGAATATTTTTTAATTACTTCATAGATGTAGAATAGATCATCAATTTCATTGAAATTATACCTTGTCCACTACCCTATTGTCAATGAAGTGAATTGGCTAACTGACAATACCTTGGATGCTCCCCATAACGATAAGGACTATAGAGTGTCGAATAAGGAGACTTGAAATACTTATCATGTTGTTTTTAGTTCTTTTGAGAGCAAAATGACATTTCTCATGTGTGCATCATTAGTTGTCTGGATAGCTTACCGAATAAGCCTTTCAATCGTCATAGTGCCAAAATTATTATTATTATTGTGATTTTCTAGACCATCTCGGGAACAACATTTCCCTATGGCACGTACGGACAACAACTTGGTTATTGGTACCCACAAAGCTATACGACAGCTAGTACATCACAAATGCCTACAGGGCAATTTATCGGAGGTATGCAGGGCTATGCTTATGGACCAATTGGAGGTTATCAATCACCTTCTTATGCAATGGGGTGTGTATACACAAATAATTATTAATCAATGACTGATAAAAAATCAATGTTTTCCTAGAATGGGACTTCAAGTACCAACTGCAGCCACGTCATGGCAAAGCATTCCAGCACCTTCTCAAATTCCTACAACGCCTCAGCAGATGGCTACGCCGACGACGACGCTCCAGCAACCTGGTATAGTTTTTCCAATTCAACAGTATCAAGTAAGTTTTTTTTATTTGTAAATGTTGCATGACTTTGTTCTATTTTTCTGCTCAATTTTTATATGCGTTACTTTTTTCTGTATTGCCTGAATATTTATTTTTCTTTTTTTTTCCAGCTTTTTTTCTAATTTGAAATATTTATTTCAATTATTGTAGTGTTTTGAAACATTCACCACAACATCTTGATAATTCACAATAATATGGATAACTTTATGTAGGTATATACATAATTTAAATGAAATACCTGGGACTTTTCAACTAATGCGATCGTGTGCGAATTTGGAATTTTTTCTTTCGAGCAGAGAATAAATTTGTGTTGGTTGAGGTACCGAAAATAACTTTCCAGGACTATTTTGGAAATGAATATCAATGGAAACCCGCAACCACCGTAAAACTAGAATGACTGTCTACCAACTGAGCCAACAACTGCACTGGTCTATTTCGATAATTTTATTGATGCTTCGTTGTCTTCTCCGACCCCTTTCAATTTCCCATTGGAATTTCACCACACTATAACGGAACCTGCAAAGAAGTAATATAGGCGGCTTGTCCTCAGCAGGCCGATGCCACATTAGCGAGCCATTGGGAAATTGGAATGATCCGGGTGAACGGGAGGATAATAGAGCAGCCGTAAAATTGCCGAAGATTGAGCAGTGGATTTATAAGCTCAGCGGAAGAGCGCCCTACTAGCGTTGCGATACTCGCGTGTTCCAATCTCACTTGAACTCCAAACTATTCAATTTTACATTGACTTACTAAACTTACACAATTTTCATTTTGTTCTTGGTGCAGCAAAGGCGATTTAAACGTCTAGTCCTCAGATTTTCGTTTGATAGGTTAAGGTAGCAGCAATATTAAGTTTTTTTCGGCCCTTTATGGAATACTATGGATTTTTTTATGTACACCATTGAAGCACGTGTTGAAAAACTTAAAATTTTGGTTCCACTGCAAATGTTCTTCTTAGGTCTGCCTTTGTGGTCTTCTTAAGGGGATTAGTGCTGTTCGATTTGGTCGATTTTGGAGCATTTTTCCAAGTTAACAGGCTTGATTCAGAAATCCAAAATTATTAACGTAGGAGGGTTAGATAAGTGAGTCTACTTTCCCAAAATTGAATAAATTTCACTTCATATCAATAACACAAAAATCATGACAAAACCACAACATGCAAAACTAATTAATAGTGTAGCAGGATGAGCCGAAACAGTTTACTTCGACGCAAACATGCGAAATAGTCATGAAAGTAAAAAGACGCCACATCAACATAGTCATGAAAGTAAATAATTACCACTTGAAATGACTATATCACTTCGGCAACGTCGGTCGGATAAACGGGATCCTCACGTAGGATTTCACAGCAGTTTGCGGCACAACGAATCCTGGGATTTGCACATTTGAACTAGATAACTATATTACAAATCAACCACCAATGGACGTTGGAATCCGGCTATACTTGTAGGCATCTAAAAAAAACAACATAACCTTGCCTGTTTTCTGTTTGCCAATATTTAATTATTCGCTCCCCTTTGTAATGTATTGTACCCAAGTAACATTTTTCCCTCTTCCAACGGTCTCTGCACCTATTTCAACATCAGAATAGGTGTATATATATAATGTTCAGAAGTTTAACGGCCGTAGTATTATATAATGAGAAGGAAATCACAGGGATCTCGGCCAAAACAGTCTATATTACGCTATTTATCAATTTATGTCGACCTTGCGAAGTGTTTTTACTTTATACAATTATGGAAAGATTCAAATATATACATTAAATAAAACCTATAGACATATAGCATAATGAATAGGTAGTGCTGTGGGTTTAGGGCCAAAAAAATTCAAAGTCCCTTTTAAATTTTAAAAAATGCCGACGTTTCGACTTTATTTAAAGTCTTTTTCAAGGCTGAAAATAACAAGAAAAAAAAGTTATTTTTTCTATGGAGAGACTAGACAATTACTAATTAATTCAATCTTGCTTATTGACTTAAAGTTGATTAAAACATAAAAATATGCATTGACAATACTCCAATAACAGTTTTTCTTGGTACATAAATGTGTAAACAGTAACAAGATATAAGACTAAGGAAATAGTGACAAAAAATATAAATAGGTAATCAAAAACACAAAAATATCTAAACATTATTAAAAAAATCAATATTGAATTATACACTACACACAAGCAAAATAAAAACCAAACACCAATGAAACAAAGTATTACTCAAACATACAAATAATTTTAATTATTTTTTGGAAAAGGGACTCTGGTCGAAATGAGTGAAAGCACCAAGCACATAATAAAAACTTTTCGATTTAAACATGAAAACTTGTTTTTGGGTAATCAACGGGTATACACGTCACGAAACACAAGTGGCAACTAAAAACTAATAATTTTGCCTGCTGACTCGAGACATTCACCCATCTATGGAATTTATTGTTCTTTAAAAAAATTGAATAATATAAAAACGAAGAATTTTTAACTAATTTTGTTGTTGTTTCTTGGTTTTGTAATGGTTTAAGATATGCATATACTGGGCACTAAGATTTTGAGTGTCAGTCCTGAAGTTAACTGTATCATTAATTGATATATAAATCATTTCATTAAGATTGCGTTTAAAATAATTAGATTCTGAACATAAAATTCTGACAGTATCAAAATCAAAAACATGCCCCTGGTCGAAATGATGTGTTGCCAGAGCTGTTTTCTCCGCCTTTTGTCTATTACGCTCCCTGCAGTCATATTTATGCTGATATATACGATCCTTCAGATATTGCTTAGTAGTTCCCACATAGCAATTTGTGCAATTTGTGCAAGGGATTTTATAGACTAAATTAGAGCATAATCCAGGAGGGTTCTTATCTTTCAATTTCGTGTATAGGCTTTTAAAAGTAAGTTTGTTATAGAATGCCAGTTTGCTATTCGGATTTTTATCACACAAGGTTTTTTGAATTTTTTCCGTGAAATTTTTAATATACGGGAACCTGAAATACGATACCTCCTCCCCCACGGTGTTCACGCGAGGTGGTCTATGCTTGAACTCATTAATGGCCCTGTTCACGAAAGGGTGGGAATATAGCATAATGGAAGAAATGTTTAAAAATATATAAGTTACAAAGAGAATTTTGAATGCTTTCTTACGTGAAATTATATCAAATAATTTTTTTATGTCAATTATTGTCAAATTTTACGTAGGAAAGCATTCAAAATTCTCTTTGTAACTTATATATTTTTGAACATTTCTTTCATTTTCCTGTATGTCTTCACGTTTTAAATAATATAAGTAGGTATTTGAATCTTTCTATAATTGTTACCTACCAAACTGACAATATTTAAAGTTCCTGAAGAAGAAGTGAAAACACTTTGAAAGCTCGACATAAATTAATAAATAACGTAATATAGACTGTTTTGGCGGAGATCCCTGTCATTTCATTCTCATTATACAGGGTGTCCCACCGGGAACCAGATCGATCTATTTATGAAAAACTGTAGATATGCAGAAAATTTTTGAAAATTTGACAGTATACTAATATCAATGGGCAACCCGGCTTAAATATTTTCAAGATGGTGGCCTTCCGGTTGTACCGGAAGTACACGTCAACTTGCTCATTTTAAAGTATGTGATTGATTATTTGGATTCTACGTAAAATTCTGAGCAGATTTCATGTGATATACCCTTTACCTAAGTTCAACTGTTTTGGAAATACTGACAATTGAAAATTGACTTTTATGCAACTTTGACCGGCTTTAAAACCTAGACGGTTAATTTTAGAGGAAAGCCGATCTTACATTCTTACCTTAGATTTTCGTGAACTATCATTTGACATGAACTTTCAATTTAACCGGGGATTAAATCTGTGGCTTGGTCGAAAAAAGGCCTATCTAGCAAAATCAAGTTTTGAGATAAATGAGGATTTGTATGAAAACTTGAAATGCTTATTACTTCATTGTTACTTTTTCGAATTTGATAAAATTTTGGTAGGGTCTACTAAAAAGCAGAATTATTCATATAATACATTTATTTTTTAAAAATCTTCTACTTTTAACATACTTTTGATTGTTAGGCTCCTGCATTTTTTTATCAATGTACATAAGCCCTAATTGTGATAGGTGACAAGTAGCACTTGGGACCTAAAAAGTGTTACTTAGGCCTTATTGTTAATAAAAACGGTACTTAGGCCGTTTTTAATTCACTTGAAACGCTTTTTCTTTTTTTTTTTTGGCTACTATTAATCGAAATTTTACTGAAAATTAAATTTGTTTCAATTTTTAAAGAAAAATAAAAAAAAAAAATCTGAAAAAAGTTTTTAAAAAAAGGCAAACACCTGTATTATTCGTTATATATTCTGAACCTGATGGACAAACTTCATCTTCTTGGCCTTGATCGATTGATAAATGCATAAAAAAGTCGACTATTGGTATTGGGATGTATGTAAAACAACAAACTTTTGATCCATTCAGTTTTTTGTTGGGAAGGGGAAGGGGATATCAGTTGTGAAATTTTTCTAAATTCGGTAATGCTTCTGGTTCCACCTGATTGCCGTTATTTCTTTCTTGTTATATCCCACACTATAAATTCTTCTTCTTTCAAAAAGCTTTGTAAATAATTTTAATAGGATTATCCACACCTGAAATAGTTTGCGTTTAGAAACGACATTGGTTTTCCTTCTGTTTTTTTTTTGCGATTTATGAAATGAGCTTTTTGGAGAAGACTTATGTATAAAAATCCTCCTGCGACATGGCAATCACTTCAATTCCCCCTTTTCGTTGTACAATTCTGAGCATTTCTATGTTCATTGAAGTTTTTAGGCTTCTGCAATTGCAGCCTGAATCGAATCTGCTTCGAGGATATGGGCCTATGTCATACTTAGAACGCAGCAAAATCCAAGTTCCCAATTAATAGGGATCTAAGTAACATTTGAACCTAGACGACTAGAGAATAATTCATATCTATGTTTCAGTTAGGCCTCCTTTTATTTTTAGCGGTAAAATTAAAAAGGCCCTAAGTAAA